ATCACTATAATACCGGGCTATTTAACTTACCTTTTATCATAGAAGAGTTCAATTAAATTGTAGATCACTAAGCAAAAATAATTCTACAAGTCCTTAAGATTACGAAAATGCCACACTACATAAACAGTAAAATCGACTGTCTATGCTAGATAACAAAATGCAAACACCCCAACATCATTAAAATCTCATTCAATTTGGTAACAACTATTTCGAAACTAATTAAATATAAGCCAACACACACTGACGCATGAAGAAGCAAAACTTGAAAGAACCGATACAACATCCATGAAGATGATACACTCAATAATCAGAAGAACAATAAACAATGTTTACGCATAAACACAACACATTAACAGACAAATAAAAACGCTCATATTTTATGATCACATTGTCATTGGAAACCAGAAAACTTTCCCAAACCTTACAAAAATTGAATAAAAAATCATAAACGAATATATTTCGTTGGTCTTCAACCAAAACTGCATCGCGCGCACACACACACACATATATATATATGTGTGTGTGTGTGTGTGTGTGTGTGTGTGTGAAAATTAACGATATATATATATATTTATATATCAGGAACAATATTGGAGAAAAATGTATGACAATGTGGAAACAGATTTTTTTCGTGGCGCTTTTCGCCCTTTATTATTACATTGGACTAAGTATGTTATGTTGATGCAACTATATATGGGAACGAGCCAGGGATGGTAAGAAATCTTAATTTTATTTTTATGTTTTTTTCTAGTCGATTTTATATAGATTCTGTTTCTTTCCATGGTAGAAGATATCCCTCACTCTGATAATAGAAGTTCTGCCAGGAATGGTGAATTGTTGCAAGAGCGCGGGCGCCAACATAAAAATTAAATTAAAATTTCCCAGTATCCTTGCGTATGTGTATATGTATGTGCGTATGTGTTGCAACAACATAACAAATTTAGTCTGTTGAATCCCTAAATGACGAAACGCGTTACAAGAAAACTTTTTCCATTTTCTCATATATATATATATATATATATATATATATATATATATATATATATATATATATATATATATATATATATATATATATATATATATATATATATATATATATATATATATATATATGCACATGCAGATACGCACACTCATATATAAATGTACAATTCCATGGCAGCTGTTTTAGCCAGCCATTGTCATGATTTCAGTGCAAGGTGATAAATGATGCAAGGACAGGAATTGAAGTTAAGTGTTGCTTGATGGCCCTGGGGGTGAGATATGCTTAAGCCATTTAATATTGGGCAGATGCCTAAGGTTATTGGAGTAACTCATTGCTGTGAGTCACCTTCTTAGGAATGCTGATTGAAATTGCAGAAGTCATCTGTCGGGGATGGCGACAAACTATGATTGCAATGATGTATAACAGATTGATAGATATGACGAGGAGTACTGGGTAACGAGCGATTTGGGAAATGGATTACTTGTCTTTGCCACTGGCCGCTTGTTCTTCGCTGCATTCGCCAATCGACAATTCATTCAGGAATTGGTCTCGATTTACTCCGAATTCCGTTATTCTGACTTTCAGTATTAGCACAAATATAAATATATTTCTTATCAAATCAATTTATTTTTAATTGTATTTTTGAAATATTACTATCGTCTTAGCAATTTAACATATAAGAGAAACAGAGGTTTCCATATTTTTTGACAAAATATAATCCAATCTGTTATATCCTGAAATGTAGTAGAATAATAGCAATGACTATTTGACGTTTTCAGCCAATACTCTAACGGTATATAATATTATGTAATAATTACTTCTTGTTAAACTGTACTTAATAGAACATGAATATTTCGTAGTATTCTAAACTCTGAAAATCATTTTAATATATGGGGTTTTAAATAAAAACAATTTAAAGAGGGTTTTCATGAGGAAATAGAATTTATACGAGTTTTGATAAAAATGACTGAAAACATACTTTGCAAAACATTTTTAACAAAACTTGTATTAAAAAGCGATTGCTACCAAAATGCACAGATATTTATACAGGGTGTATAAAAATACTTTTACAAAATTTTATTTCCTCACACCAAAACAAGGACAAAAATCTATATTAATGCATGTCCGCAAATCCTTCGTTTTTGAGTTATTAAGTTTAAAGAAAATTTACGATAGATGGTACTGTGTTGCCATTTGGACTAGGTTACATTTGACATTCGTGTATATTTGTGACTAGTCCGTCTTCAGCGTTTAACATGTGTAGTAGTGAGTAAACTAAGACATGTTCCATTTAACAATGGGAGAATATTCATATCGTAAGCAGATAGATATGATTTTTACATACGGCTGCTCGAATAGTAATGGGCGGGAGGTTGCGCAGATTTATCAGATTGCAATTCCAGACCGAAGGTAGCCGGATCATCCAACCTTTGCTTCTGTATATCGTCGGGTTCCTGAGACAGGATTCCTGACACCACAAAATATGAATCGAAGAAGACCGAGATACGTCTGACCACAAAGAACATATCCTACAGGCTACCGGAGGCGATCCAGGTTTCAGCTCACGTCGAGTGTTCCTAGCATGTCGTACATTCCAAAGTACCGCATAGAGGGCACATCAAGAACAGCCTCTATGTCCGTATTATTTGCAAAGTGTGCAGGGTCTTTCGCCCTCTGATCACTCACCAGGGGAGGTCTCTTACCGATGGTTTATTGCACAAACTATCGATCGGTTATTTGTCTATTCAGTCTTGTTTACGGATTAGGCAACATTTGGAAGAGAAAGATTAACAAATTTATACAGACATTTGGGGTCGGATCGTCATCCCTATGTTAAAATACAGGCTAGACACCAGCATCAGTTTACGATCAATGTGTGGGCTGAAATTGTAGGTGGCTGTCTGGCATTTCTCTCAGCATATCTTACAGGAGCTCTCTGCAGAGACTTTATTTCGAACACACTTCTAGAGCAGGAAAGCCACAGAACCGGTTCTCCTCTTCATATCCATCTTTCATGATAGATGTCAATGCATTACAAACAATGTGACTAAAATTTGACCCACATTATGCATGAACAATATGCGTCTTTGTATTAGCAGGAGTACATTCTCTAGCATTTAAAATGTCCACATAAACATCCAAAATAACATCATTGTATCTGAACACAGCAACTCATAACAAATGTTCAAAATATCCTCCGCATGCATCTACACACGTATGCACCGTCGGATCATTGACTTGTGGACTCTCTCAAATACTCGGAACCCGAACCCAATATTTATAAAGGTATTTTTGATACGCTCTGTATATAAGGGAAGAGAAATATGGAGGGGAATAGAAAGAAAGTATGATAGTTTCCAAGTAAAAGTGATCTTAGCGTGCATAAAAAACTGGACAATGACTTGTGCGGGGTTTCTTCAAAAAGTAAAAACACGCTTTGCAATAATCTTCTTGTACTTTACAATATGTGTTTTACCATATTACAAAAAGGGAAGGTGAGAAAACCAACAGCAGATAATATTTTCCCCTACAATACTTTACCACCTTCAACTTTAAATGTTTTTTAACACACATTTTGAAATCAATCCCTCACATTTACGTCGCCTGGCACTCTACTTGTAGTCGGTGCCAACGACAAACAATGTTAATTCCAAATAAAATGTTTATTTATAAAGGCTACTTTAGCTCCTCGTTTATTATTTCTAATTTGAACGTGCATGAACTTTTTCATACAAACAGTAGAACTCTCAGCCTAGAAGTTTTCTTGATTACTTTATGCGCAATACCCACTGCTGTGTTAGAAATTTCCGCGATTTTGCTGTGGTGACGTTTTACAAAACCTCAGTGGGGTTGTAATTGACGTAAGGAGTCAGGGTTATCAGAAAGTTTTCATTTTAGAAATTACATTTTTAGATGAATTAACTTATTTTGCAATAGCTGCAGCCGTTCTCCCTTGGGGCTTTAATACGACATCTCGACGTCTGAGTAACTCTTCAACATTGCAACGGCTTACCATCATGATAGCTTACAAAACTGTTCTGCAGACGAATAAATAATATTTTCTTATATTGCAATATTGCCATATTTCGTTGGAAACTATTATATCTATTTGGAAATCACTCAAATATAAATGACAATAGTTGTCCTTTAATATTGTACGTTACTCTGTTTGCCTATTAAATTGGTTTTGTTCTGTAACTTTGTTTATCCTTGGTTCTCTTTATGCAGATGGACCAGATTGTAAAACTAAATTTCAACAATATATACTACAACTTATATAACGATTGAATCTGTTGGGTAGATTTCTTTTTTAATTTTAACCATTCCTTCTCTAATATTGGAAGCTATTTTCTGCGTGTGTGTACATGGTAAAGTTAGTAATATAAAAGCAGGTACAGCACTGTAGAGAAAGTGTTATTTTCTAAGTTCATTGCGACATAAGTTTTGACATTGGCATAAACATTTTATGAATAAACCAAGATCGTCTTGTTTTCATGACGTTTCTTTTATTTGTCTTTTCGCCATACTGTTCTACTCTTTAAATAAAAACTACAATTTACACATTTCTAGAAATAAAATAAATTATTATTTTGCATTTAATCATTTGATAATGTGTTTACTCAAATCTATCAATTTAAATATTGTCTAGAAAAATAGAAAACGTATGATATGATGAGACAATAATCTCGTAATATGAGCATAAAAGGCCCATAAAAAAAGAAATGGAGAAAATAAACTGTAATTAATCGATTGATTGTTTGATTTGATTTTTAACAGTTCTTCAAGGTTATTTAAACCAAAAAAATGTTTTTCGATTGTAAGAATTTGCGGAAGATAATTATTTAGTGATACAAGTTTACTAATTAACCCATAGCTGTTGAAGGTATGGATTCATACGCTTCCCAAGGGTATTTGCGCGTAAATAGATATAACGAAGCTAACTGGAATTGGAACTGGGCTCTCCGATTAATAATTCAGTGTCATTATCCATTACACCACCCACACATCGCAGATTACTGCACCTGATATTCCCAAGCAGTCACCCATCTATGTACTGACTATGCTCGACGCTGCTTAATTTCGCTGATCGTACGGGCACCGGTGTATCAACGTAAGATGACCGTAAGCCTACGCTGTAATGAAAACGATGACTACTGATGTTATTAGTTGTAAACGTTTACACAATAACACATGCATCATATTTAGACTGATGCTGTCTATGTGATAACCACAAAGTAAAAACAGCAAGTAAATAATGAAATAACTACTACAGAATGTTAGAAATATATCGTCTTCACATGTTGTTCCAAAGATTTTAAACAGTATTTTTTTTACAAGGTCCGTGTTAGGGGGTTCTAGATATAGAGGGTTAGGTTAATGGGTAGTTTATACGGATAAAAGTGGAAGATAATGGTTAACTCTAGACTTGAACAGGTTAAGGTTGTAGTGATCGAGGAAACATTCTCATGGGAGGCTGTTCCACAGTGCGCTGGTTCGTGGGAAGAAGCTATTTGTGTCGAAATTACTTCTCTCCGATGGAATACGGAAAGAATGTGGGGTGGTTCTTTACTATGTAAGGGACATGGAGGATCCTGGCCGTGAAGTTTAGCCCTGGCGAAACCAAGGAATGTAAAAATCTTTCCTATCATGTAGATACATGAAGTTATTAACAGCCAGACATCCAAAGCTCTGGCGGTCAACGCAGGCGTGCCCCAGTGGTCACTTCTCGGACCAACCCGCTTTCTGATTTATATAAATGATCTACCGAAGAATATACTCCGATCCTTTGTAAAATTCTATGCCGATAATATGATGATATACAGGTGCACCTCTAAATATTTGATGATCAGAGATTGGCAGCTGACCTTCTTCCGGTCTAACACTAACTTCCAAGTGGAGAAAAACTTTACTGATTACATTCAATGTCACTAAAACCAAACAGGTTACATTCCGACGGGAACGGAATGTAACCTGTTTGGTTTTAGTGACATTGAATGTAATCAGTAAAGTTTTTCTCCACTTGGAAGTTAGTGTTAGACCGGAAGAATTCAATAACAGCAATGATATTATTACTTATTATTATTATTAATTTAATAATACTAAATTAAACTAAAAACCAACATTTCTGTTGCTAAAACGCAATCTGAATAACGCTATTGTTCATTCTGATGATCCTGCCTATGGCGTTAATAAGAGTTTCTCTTTGTTTTATGCCGTGTACGTTATATAAAGTAATGGAGGACTTAAAAATGAAAGTAGCTATATATAACCATTGAAAGATATTTCAGATATGCTATTAGATTCCTGAACGTAAGTTGTTAGTTTCAAACATGAAAGAGTGTGATTATTCGTGCGTACGCATGCATATATGTAATCGAAACAGACATAAGCAGAATACAATAGATTAAGAGTGGGGAGGAATAAAAGTTTGATAGATTGTTAGAAGATGTATATCCCTTTAAAGAACATAGCTAAAGCTAATTCTGTAAATACATATATTGATTGCTAATAAATAAACATAATTTTTTGGGTGTTTTATTTTGTTTTACGGCATATCAGCCACAATGGATTATTTAATGCCGACAAGATCCTTAGGATATGTTCGTATGAATAGAATATGTACTAATATTTTTTTTTTAAATGTATTGCTGATATTTTTTTTCCAAAAATATATTGCTGGTTTTTTCACTATATATCTTTTTTAATTTCATAGTGTTAAGACCCCAGATTGGCGGTTAACTATTTGCCCATAGCTGGGACCCTAACAAATGCTATCACCCGGTTCAGGGTGGACATGGGAACAACAGCAATTAAGAGGTAGTTCAACACTCCTCAAAATCTCCAATCTCCCGATCAGAGATCTTGCTGCCGGATGTAGTTTATCGTCATACCCAAGACAAAAAAAAACAGACTAGTTAGTACCAAGCTATTCAGAAAGAAGAAGAATATTTCGTAAATTTATATTAGAAACACTAGCTATACAACATTCGAATACCACGCAGTGTGAGTATTGCACTTATTTTTTAGAGAAACGCAACTCTTCAAGAAAAGGTGTTGTTTTCTTTTAATTCTTATCAGTTAATCTTTCTAGATTCTGCATATATTGTCTAAATTTTAAGAGAGGGTTTTCAGTTTGTCATGTAAATTCAGTGTAAATTTAGGCTTTAACGAATACCAAAAAGATAGAATGTGATAAAGCATATTCTTATTTGGCTCACTAAATTCCAAGTTCATGTTAAAATAAATAAGGTTAATATTTTTTTTATTATTTAGTGCATATGCTTACTTATCTTCTTTTTATGTTGTGTTAAATAATGCTTGTATACAAAATGTTTAATTATTCCAAGACCATCGCATAATATGAATTTAAAGCATATTACTACTTATAAATTATTATTATTATTATTTTTTATTATTATTTTATTTTGTTTTACCTACTAAGTCTGCGGAAAGACCTAAGGCAATGGATTGGCCACATTTTTTTTTTTTTTTTTTTTTTTATCTCCGATGAACAACAAAGTTCTCCTTAGGATATGTAATATGAAATAGAATATGGGGTTTAGGGATTCTTTCAATGTGTTGTTTTGTTTTTTTTAAAATGTATTACCACTGGTATTATTCTTGTTTTCAATTTTTTTCTAAAAATATATTTTGATGCTTGGTTTTTTTCTGGACTATCAATTATCAAGTTTTTTTTTTTGGTTTTTCAATAATGTGCCTTAATTTTTCTGTCTGATGGATGGCATAGAATGGTGACATCTTCTATTTGCCGATGTTCATACCAGTGTTTGCTGGGATTTTCCAAAGTGTTTGCACATTGTCCAGTGTAAATTTGCTATCGTGACGATTTTTATATTCCCGGAACATTCAGATTAGATGGATTGTTTCTTGGTAACAGAACCTGCATTTTGGATCCACATTATTATGTATGATATTTGCCTGAAAATTCCTAGTGAAAAGACTCTGGTCTTGCGCTGCAAGAATAAAGCCTTCAGTTTCAGACTTTAATCCAGATGCTCGTAACCATCGATGAGTATTAACTTTATCAACATTGGGTTTATTTCACGTTCTGGATATTCATGCAGATGCCAGCGTTGTTTCATCTGTTCAAGGGCTTTATCCTTGGCTTTCTTTTTTATCGTCATACCCTAAGAATCTACTAAAAAAAACTGCCTTCTTTTATTATTGAATATTTTTTTCTTTCTGTTTTCATGTTGTTTCACTAATTTTATCATCCAGTCAGTTGTTTCCATGAAGTTAGTAAGCCAAAGAATATTTCTAGCTGAATAAACCTTTCCACCTTCTTTATTATGTAAACGGTCACATCAGCCTTTGGATGACATCTTATTAGAAAGAAGCTTTCTTGTTTTAGAATCCATTTGTCTGATGTCATTTAGTGTCCAGTTCAAGATGTTGAAACTATTGGATTTGGGATGGCAAGGTTATTAATGGCCATAATTCTGTTCTTCAAGTTTTTAAAAAGGTACCCTTCTATTTTCTTTACGCTATTTTTTATTTTCTTATGGTGTTAATCATTTCTAGGTACTTATAATTCCTTGTTCTAAATCTTTTATTGTTCTAAATTTTAATAGAGAAGGGTAGCGATTTCGTAAAACTGTAGCTTTGTCATTTATCCAAATTGAAATTCCAATGTCTTCACTGAAAATTTTACAGTTTGCAGAAACCTTCCAGCTCATTGTCATTCCAAGCATACAATTTTAAGTCATCCATGTAAAATAGATGGTTTATTTTCTTTTGAGCTATTTTGTAACCGCATTCTGTCTTGTTAAGTTGGCTGGTTAATGCTATAAGTGATATGCAAAATAATAAAACAAAAGGTTGAAATATTCCTCTATTTTTTTATTTATTTAGGTTCCATTTTTATGATTGAGGTAAAGTGTAGTTTTCCATATCTTACATTGTTTGATGAAATTGATGATAACGGGTGATACCTTGTACATACTTAAAGACTTTAAGATCCAAATATCGAATGCTTTACGATAATCTATCCAGGCAAATAAGATTTTTTTTTCCACGGAAAGTTTTCCAGGATCATCCTATTAATAAGTAATTGGTCTTTTTACATCCGTAGCATCGTTTGCACCCTTTTGTTCAAGTGGTAGTATGTCATTTCTTTCCAAGAAGAAATATGTCTGTTTTTTAAAAAGATGTTAACATATGTTGTTGGAAGACATGTAATTGGTCTATAGTTTTCGGAATATTTATCACTATTAACTCCTTTGGTCATCCATTGCAGGAATTTTAGTTGGATTAACCATTAGTTCTTTAGTTTTTTTATGTATTTAAATAATATATTAGGAATTTTATCTATTCCTATTTCCATTTTTCAGTGCACATTTAACATCTTCTTCTGTGATTCCCGCCCATGTCTGTTCTGGTTTATTTTTCATTCGTTCTAACTCTTGCGCAATCCAATCTGCCTCTTCGTTGTGTTCTTTAGGACAAGCCCATATTTTTCCCCAGAACTGTATAACTTCTTCCATTTTTTCAATTCTTTGTTTACCTATTTCCCTGTAAAATTTCTTTTTGCATCGGTTTGAAAGATTTGTTCTGTCTATAGAATTTGATCTTTTCTCGTCTTATTCTTTGAGCCTTCAGTTGTATTGATTTTAGTTGATAGGACTTCATTTTATTATTATTATTATTATTATTATTATTATTATTATTATTATTATTATCAGCATCATCATCATCATCATCATTTCTTTTACTTAATATTTTCTCACTCGTTTATTTTTTCGGTTTACGTCAGGGGATCAATTAACAATGAAATTACATAACAAACCTAATCCACCTCTTAAATCTTAAAAAACATAATATAAAAAAAATATAAAAAAGGTTTGTTTTATATTCGTGATCTGAAGAGCTTAAAATAGTTGGAGCCTTACTTCCTGAGGTGCGTTTATGTAGAAACTTCTCTTAGTTAATTCGGCTCACAAACAGATTAAGAGACAGTTACACACAGAAGTTTCTTTTCCTATGAAATAGATATCTACAAATATATTTTTACTCAGATAGGTGAGAAATTCTATGTTGATATTTTTCTTAGATTTAATATTTTAATTAAGCTGTTCCCTTAAGACGAACGACGATGATATGCACAAC